CCTACGGGTCTTCTTCCCCTTGTGTTGGGAAGTGGCAGCGTGTTCGGCATGGAGACCGGGCGGAGCTTTGCCACCTCCGGCGCCGGGCACGTTCCCACCCATAGCGGAAAGTGCCGCAACGGCTGCCTGGAGCTGCTCCGCGGTCACCCCCAAGCCGAACAGCGCTTGGACCGCGTCTGGAGTCGAGCCGATACCTCCCGTGCCGTTGCCGCTTCCCGGCGCGTTCTCCTCGCCAACGACGTGGCTGGTGGTGGGGACGTTGCTCCTTGTTTGCACCATTCTCGCGTTCGGGAGTTAACCTACGAGTATGTTCCTCTCCTCTCAACGAGAGCACCAATTTGATGGCTATAAACCACCGAGAGTATGAAATAATATAAAGTTTTAGAGAGAGAGTGTGTGTGCGCAAAGTGGGAGTATATTGAATTCAAAATTCGGTCCATTACAATGAGGGGTGCCACCCCTTTTATAGGGGGTGCAATACACTAAGTCAAAGCTCTCTGTTCGAGGCCCGTCGTCTAGCGGACGTCACCTGCTCTTACGTCTTGTCCCTTTCATCCTATCGCTTTCACCAAGTCTTCGTTGAACGTCGTTTTCCGCACGTCTTGTCCCTTTCATCCTATCGCTTTCCTCAAGCCTCCGTTGAACGTCGCTTTCCGCATGTCATTGTCGCGAGGCTCGGGCTCGGCTTGGTCGGCCGAGTAGGAAGGACGAGCGGAGCGCAGAGCCGGGCAGGAAGGATGAGCGGAGCGCAGAGCCGGGCAGGAAGGACGAGCGGAGCGCAGGGCTGGGCAGAAACGTCCAAGCCTAATCCTTTGGAAATTTATGCTGATGTCAGCCCTAGGCTGGTGTGGGGTTATTCCCCATCAGCGTGTGACACGCAATTGCCCAATAAAGTACAAAATTGAGAAAGCAGGTACAAAAATACCAATTACAAATAGAAGTTTACTGATGAAACGAGTACTTACTCGACGACCAACTTGTGACATCTGCCTTGTATTAGGTCGCACTAATTCGTAACCAAGATTATGTCATTTCATGTTATTGGTAGTGGCATAACACTTTCAGAGTATGTATTTAATGAGTACTTCACCTCATTGTTTGCATGCAATGAGTACTCCATCTAATTGTCCACATTTTTGAACTTGTCATTCCAATGGGCCAAAAGGATAAAGTTATCACCATAGTCCATTTATTTGCAATGTGAAAAAGATTTATAAGTTGGTGTGTGAGAATATATTTTAAGAAGATTTTAGGTGTGTAGTGAGATTGTGAGACATATGCTCCAAATATATAGTAGGAATTGGGGATGAGGTTATTGTATTATGTGGGAGTTGTCTTAGGTGGGAGTTGTGTTTGGAGAGAGTTGTGTTAGATAGGAGTTGTGTTAGATGAGAGTAAAATAAGTTGTTGATTTTTTTGTAGGTTGGAGGTGTGTTGGTGCAAAACTTATTGTATTAGGTGGGACTAGAGATTGGTGTAAGATTTTACCCCTATTAGATGGGAGTTGTGTTAGATGAGAGTAAAATAAGTTGGTTTTTTTGTAAGTTGGAGGTGTGTTGGTGCAAAGACTTATTGTATTAGGTGGGAGTAGAGTTTGGTGTAAGATTTTACCGCTATTATATTTTGGGAGAGTAAAATGCATGATTTATTGTGTTACGTAAGAGTAGAGATAGGTCTAAGATTCTATTTTATTAAGTGGAAGTAAAATTAAGTGCAGGATTTATTGTGTTAGGTGAGAGGAGAACAAGGTTTAGGATTAATAAACCAAAATTTAAATGTTTTAACCCTAATGGTATAAGAAGTACCCTTGGTACCATTTAAAACTCCTAACAGTTAAAGTAGTACCGCTAGTATTCAAATTAATTCTTACTAGCACTAGCCGGGAATGGTTTTTCAAAAGCATCACTACCTAGGAATTAGTTCCAAGAAATCAAGTTTGATGCCAATGTTAAAGTTTTAGGAAGCTACTCAATATTGGAAGAGTGAGGGAGAGTTTGGAAAATACTATGAACCCACTAATGGAGGAATGAACTATACATAGCAAGACATAAAATAGAACAGAGAGGGATAGCAAAGGTTATTTCATTTCTTGAATGCCAACTCTATTGCCGGCGATGTTTAGAGTTGGCAAAGACAAGAAGTGGCAAAGGGGTAAGATCCGAGTTTGATTTTTGACAACTGCGCTGAGAGGCAATTATGTTAACCATAAGGCCTCTGTTAGTACTGGTGCAAGCTTCACTCTTTACCACTAATCTACGATTAAAATCCAATTTACTTCCTCTCAGTAACCGTCTGAAAGGTCTAAGGGGTCCTCGGGATAGAATTCGTCATTTGAATGCCAACTTTACAAGTAAAGGAGTATTTATCAACACGCTACCACTCAACAAACCAACAGAATCTAATATAGACTCTAAACCACTTTTAAGAACTTGTACTAACCTTTAAAAAAACTAACTTTGTTTTAATGAGCCAGATCTTGATGCATGTATATGCTCTACTTTGTTGTAATCAGCCATGTATTCACTTTTGTTCACAAATTACATTGAACAGGCCAGATTATTACATTTATTCAATACATCTTTCATATTTTTAAGAGATTTGATAGTGTGTATTTTGATATTGAGTTCAAAAAATATTTTAAATGTGATGAGTAACATGCAAGATTTGATAGATAGATTAATAATGAATAGATTAATATGATAAGTAAGTTAAGAAATACTCCAGGTAAAAGAGACTTTTTAATAGAAATGAAATTTTTTTGAGATAGATTAAAAAAAGGAAAAAAGATTTTGTGGACAGACCAAGTATAAAATAAACTTCCAGAAAATTACTCACAGATAACGCAGGTTTTGTCAAAATAAGTCTCAAGTCCCTCTATTTTCAAGAAGACAACGGAAGTCCTTATATTTTGTTGTAATGACTGGGATGTGAGATTCCACCTAATATTTCATCCATAAACGTAAATAAATGTATTTTTTTCATTTTTTTCCTAAATATTTTAGGGTAATAAATCTTAGGTCACTCCTTTTTTTATTTCTTTATTTTTCTTTTTTTTTTGCTACTCTTTTTTAAAGTGTTATTTTAGAATTTCTTCTATAAAATCAGATAAAAATTCAAAATTGTTTGTATTATATTAAAATAAATGAAATAAAATATTTTCTAAAAAAGAAAAAACCGAATAATGAGAAAGTAAGAAAAACGGTAATGGAAAAATAGGAAAAAAATACATTTATTAACACTTTGGATGAAATATTGGATGAAATATCCCTCCCAGTCATTACAACAAAATATAAGAACATCAGTCGTCTTCTTGAAAATAGAGAAATCTGAGAGTTATTTCGATAAAATTCGCGTCACCCGTAAATAATTTTATGACAAACTTCAATATTTCAAGTTTTTAGATATGGGAGCATGTAGAGCGAGAGCTATGGCTGGACTATTTGCGTTTACCTACTCAACAAATAAAAGAAAGATTTACACATCTTTGGTTCAAATATTATGGGAGAAAATAAAGAAAATGATTTCCTAGAAAAATGCTAGGGGTACACTAAAAGTGTACCCCATTTGGCCCCCACCTCCTCCATTACCACAAAAAAAGACAAGATATTTTTAAAAAATTAAATAAATAAAAATGAGGTAAGAATGAGTGGTAGAAAGAGGTGAATGGACAAATAAAGTACACCTTTGGTGTACTCCTAGCATTGCTCTTTTATTTTGCTCTCCAAAATAGGAGGAATTTTATTTGCTTCATCTTAGTAAATTTTATATTTGCATTTTCTTTTCCTTGTATTTTTATTTTCTTTTCCTCTCAAGCCTAGTGAAGGACATGGTACTTGTTCAGTTCGACTATGGTTCTGTAACCGTCGGTTCCAGATACGAAGGGAGGAGAATCGTAACCGACATCGACGGCATGATCTGTCCACCATAATGATCTGTCCACCATAGATCTTCCCAACACTACTCACAAGATCAAGCTTAATTCACTTTGTTAGTTTATTTTTACTACTCATTTAATTTTGTAGAACTTTACATGTAGTTTATAAAATTGACGGAGAGAGAAATATTTTATAAAATTGTAGGCTAATCTTTGTTTTTTAATATGTTAGTAGGTGATAAAAAAAGTGGTAGATTACCATCGCCTTCAATTGGAGCATCATAAATCTTCACTTCCATCTTTTTAAATTAAGATGTTCAGATCTCAATTGATTGTTACTCTTAAACATGAACGGAGCATTACATATAATTAGGCTTTGTAATTGCATTACTTGGCAGATTAGTTCATATGAACAAATAATGTACAGAGTTCGGTAAGCAGATATTGTCCACGGTTGGGATCCTTGTTAAGGAAACCCAACAAAAACAACCGGCCAGTAAACTCGGATAAACAAAACATGTTGATATGGCTACAGCCACCTTGGCAGTCAAGATCCTGGGCACAAAATCCACAAATAGCCCTAATCTTGGTACATGTAGCCATTACAAATTCCTAATTCTACTTAACCCCAAAATCATGTAATTTCCATGGAACCCAGATTCCAGCATTTTGGAACAGAAAAAAAAAATGGAGAAGCAAGCGAAATCAATATTTCAAGAACGAGAAGAGGAGAAGTTCTGGTAGTTCCGCATGACACCGGCGCGATATTTATATAGGGTAGTGAGACGGATGATGAAACCCTAATAAACCGCAGTTGTGCTCTTTGGGCGTTGTATTAATCATTTAGGCCCAATCCGAATGTGTTTTCTAGAATTAGTATTTGGGGGCGTGTATCTTAACAACCTCACAATTTGGATGTGTTTGCTGAACAAACAAGATATGACTTTTGATACTTTAAAATAATATGGAGTATCAGATCTTTTTTTTTTGTGTTTGGTGAAAGTGTGAAACCAAAATAGACATTGAATTTGGTATCTACAGATATCATGCATCTTCCATGAAGGGTTTCGAAATCTCTCGAATTTTAGAGATATCAATATGGGGGTTCGATATCTTTCTCAACCGTTGATCATTCTCCACCATCGGTTATCATTGTCACTTCCAATCACCTCCGTTGTCGGTCATCCTCACTTATGTCGGTCATCCTCACTTATCACTAATTAAATCATTATTTTAAGTCTCTTTAAACAAATCCGTTTCAAATTTTAAAACTTATATCATTTCTCACAGATTTCATAACTCATATCTTATGGCATCTCCAAAACTCACCAAACGGATCCTTAATTTTAGTATTTTGAAAAAGTTGTCTGATGACAATGTTTAACTTTTGTATTTTTAAAGTAAATTTGTATGATATAAAAGTTATCTGAAATATTAATGTTAATTAAAAAAATCATTTTACAAATAAGTTCTTGGAAAAATAAGTATTAAGTAGCGTTTCTCTATAATTGTAAGTTATTTTTAACTTATAAGTATGTTGATACCATGTTTTTCTATATTTATAAAAATGAATTATAAACTACTTATATAAGTTATAAATGGTTTGTTAGCAATAAACCAATAAGCAGTGATGGTGTATTCCACCCAGAACCGGTCAAAGAAGACGTTCAAATACTCAACCGGTCAAGATTAATTTTTCAGGATGGGAGACCAAAATCGCCAGAAAAACAGTATTCGATTGCCCGAAAAGTTGACCGGTACAACTTCGGATAGGCTACATGTAGTGGAGATAACTCATTCCTTCCAGTTGCGTCTTGTCTTAGTTTGAAATAATCTGAATGATTTTCCAAATCCATGACAATGCAAAGATATAAATATCTCCGCATTCAAAGTCGACGGTGAAATGTTTCTGCACCAAATGTTGGATTAACAGAGAAGTAATCACGGACAAGATGATCATGCCCCTTCCCATGTTCTCGATCCAAGTATTTTCTTTGATGTACTCTACTTGAAGAACTTTGAGATGCACAGAGCTCTTCCTCCTTGATTATAACAAGCATCTCTCTATTTAACTCATCATCTGCAGCTAGTTTTCTTCTAAAATTTTTCTACATCTCAAATATTTCATGTTCACTTGGAATATCAGACATATGAATGGATATTGTATGGTTGAGAAAATGACAAATAATGCTTCACAACCCTTTTACTCATATACTGTGTACATGCCACTTTCAAGCGATTAGTTGCAACCATTACTTTACTAAAAACAACATAAAGCCAATTCAAAATAATTAAGAAAATTGAATATAGAGTGCATACTAAAACCATTCAATCAAGATTAAAAAGTACAATAGTATAATTTGAGGAAATAACTATATTCTTCAAATCCAGCATGTAACACCCCGAAACCCGATTTAGTATTTTAATTAATTTATAAAATTAATCAATTATTGAGCCGGTCAATACGAATATTATTTTCTAATTTGCCTTAATAACATGAGGGTTTATCATATGTTGTAGAGCTCGCTGTTCTGAACCCGTCTGCGCAAACAGATCGTAAATCGAACTTATTGGGCCCAAGATACAATTATCGAATAAGGTAATTGGACTTAAATTTATCCTAACTAGTTATGTCCTGTTCTTTAGGACTGTAAAAAAAAGTTGGATGTTGGAAGAAATTGGAAAAAACTGGAAGGAACTGGAAGAAACTGGAAAAAACTGGAAGGAACTAGAAGAACTAGAAAAAACTAGAAGGAACTGGAAGAAACTGGAAAAAACTGGAAGAAACTGTAAAAAACTATAAAACCTAAAAAAAACTTTAAAAATATTTATTTTAAATTATTTTTATTATAAATTATTATTATTATTATTGTTGTTGTTGTTGTTGTTGTTGTTATTATCATCATCATCATCATCATCATCATCATTATCATTATCATCATCATCATCATAATCATCATCATTATCACGTTATCTTAGTGAATGTCTTTAAGATATAAAAAAGTATTGTTATTTTTTAAATACAAAAAACTATTTTTACAAAAAATAATTATAATATAAAGTTAGCATAAATATAAAAATATTAAATTTTAAAAAGGCTGTGTAGTTATATTGCACCTCAATTTATTTATGTAGTATTTATTTTAAATAATATATTTGTAATTATAATTTATATATTAAAACATTTTGTTTTAAATATCATACATGTCACATAATCAAAACTATTGTTTCTTTCATGATTAACATTTTATTTTTATTGAATTCCTATTTTTGGAATAAAGACATAGAACTTTTTTGTTTATATTTTTTATGTTTTACTCATATTTTAGTCTTTTTCTCTAAGCTCTTTTGACTTACAATTTTTTTTATAAAAATTAGAAAAATGAGCAATTTTTAAGTAATAAAGGGAAAACTAAGATGTCTTATAAAAACTTATATTAATAAAACATTCAATGTAACTATTTTATCCATAATTTTTTAGTATAAGCTAACATATTGATGTTTTCCTGTTTTATCATGTAGACTAATATACAAAAAAAATATCTTAATCATATTAAAAAGTTGAAGAAAAAAATAATAAGTGTGAATCATAAAAATAGTGAGATGAAAAAAATAATTTATACTATAGTTATGAATATAACAGTTGTGATAATAATAATAATAATAATAATAATAATCACATTGAAATATATCATTTTTGGAGTAATTGGTTGAGGAGTAGAAAAAATTTGAAGAAAATGAGAAAAGTTGGAAGAAACTGGAAGAAACGGGAAAGAATCGGAAGAAACTGGAAGAACTTGGAAGAAACTGGAAGGAACTTGAAGAAACTGGAAAAAACTGGAAGAAACTGGAAGTTAAGAGTTCAAGCTCTAAAGAAGAGGCTCTTAGTGTAAATTAGATCTAAAAATCTACTTCTATTTAATTATATACTCCCTTCGTCCACTTAAGATCTTCTAATTACGTGTTACGAGGCTTGACCGACTTTATTTTCAATTCAATTTAATTGATTATAGGAGTAAAATTTTAAAATAAAATTTATATAGTAATAAATTACATGAAAAGTTCTACCAAACTAGAGGTGACAAGACTATATTATTTTACGAAATGACTAGTAAAAATGAGCAAATAAAGTGAGTAAAGTTTGACAATGTGAATAGTGTCTGGAAAGATATATATGGAAAGAGGGAGTACTAAATAGCCTTACCTGCCCGACTGTTTTGCTTCTCTGGCCATACGATCGCCCGGCGGTTTCACAGCAGCACGCATCGCCGCCGACCTCCGTTCCAGGGAAACAACGCCGGCCGCCGTCCCCCTCACTTCCCTTCCCGCCGGTGTGCGCGAGCCGAAAGTTAGTCCGGCGTGGAGCAGCGGCGTTCTCCTCTTCTCCGATCCAAATTCTAAATTCTTCAATTTTCGAGGTGAGTCGTGGTTCTATACCTAGATTTAGTGCTAATTCATTGATTAGGACTTTCTTAGTGGATAATCTTGAAATTTGGTCGTGGAATTGGTTGTTTATGGTTGAATTGGCGTGGATTGATTGGGGGGGGGGTTGTTGCCGCTCGTTATTCCGGCGAAACGCCGGCGGAAGTACGGCCGTCTTCGGCAGCGGTCTGGTGACAGTTGGGGGGTTCCAATTGGGTCAATTGGAGCTAATTGGGCGCAATTGGGTCCAATTGGGTTCAATTGGGTCCAAACGGGTTCAATTGGGTTCAATTGGGCTAGTTGAATTCAATTGGGTGCAATTGGGTTTGGTTGAACTGTTTTGGGCTAATTGATGGACTGTTCGGGTTGCTGTGAACCACCCAACGCCCAACGGGAAGACAAGCAAAGGTAGGCGAACAAAAAGAGGATGAAAATTATGGATAATTACTGTTAAAAAAATAAAAAAAACTTTTAAAAGGCAAAGAAAAGAATCGTTGCTAGGAGAAAGCTATCAAGTGGAGCTCATCCTATCCAAGAATCCAACTTTACCACTTTTTGTCTCCTCATCTCTCCCTGGTGGTTAAAGTTAGGTTTGTAGCTTTAAAGTTTAAACCCACCCTTCAAGGCCTTAATAAGTTTTCATTCATAGTTTTAAAAATCGGACGGGACCGGCCGGTTCGAACCGTGAATCGGCGAACCGGTGGTACAACCATTCCGGTCCAGCCCTTTGAACTGTAACAAGCTTCAAACCAGTCTCAACTGAGGCGAACTAATGTGAACCGGCCAGTTGAACCAATTTTTTTCTTTCTTTTTTTGTGACTTCCAGAACAGGCCTCCATGGGGGTTTGAACCCAAAACCTCTTATACATTTGGTTAGGTTCCTAACCATCCAAGTAAGTGTGTTTTTTTGTTACAAGTTCACTTAATCTTTTATAATATTTCATAATTAAAAAAAAGATTGAATAAAAATTTCTTTTCAATTTTAAAAATATAATATTATATAGCTATGAGTCAAACACAAAATCATTGATATTATTGATACTATTACAAAATGCATATCATGCAAATATTTCATTTGAGTGTTTTTAATATTAAACAACTTATTTGAAAAAAATAAAATTAACTCTTTAGTTATAAAATTTTTAATATTATTTTTTTTATATGTAAATATTATTTTTTAGCTTAGTAAAATAACTCAAGTATACGAATATAATTTTAGCCAAATGTTATAAATTACATTCTTTAGGTATTTATAAATGAGAATGTGTGTGTGTCTACATGTATGTGTTTGTTCATATATATATATATATGTATGTATATGTGTGTATATATATATATATATCTATATATGTATGTGTATATATATATATATACATACATACATACATACATACATACATACATACATACATATATATATATATATATATATATATATATATATATATATATATATATATATGGGCTCGTTAACAAGCAGGGGCCCGAGGCCCGTTAACCGTGTGACTACCCCGGGGCTCGTTAACACCCGAGGTAGATAACCCACGTTAGTAAGCCCAACCCCATAAGCCCAAATCTATTTCCCAGGGGGTCACCCATTAATTTGTTCTACTCCCATGCCAGCATGCTTAACTCTTTAAAATTCCCCCAAAGTTGCCCCTTCTGAGGATCGAACCCGGGTCGTAAGGTTCCGCATTCAGATATATATATATATATATATATATATATATATATATATATATATATATATATATATATATATATATATATATATATATATATATATATATATATATAAACCCGAAAGAAAACCACCAAAATCGGTGGGGTAAGGCCCAGGCATCCTTACCAAGTAGATTAAAGAGTAGAATGTACAAGAAATGATGTGAGTTGGGCTAAAACTCAACACAGCCCATAATATATATATATATATATATATATATATATGTATGTATATATGTATATATATATATATATATATATAATTTTTAAATATATTTAAACAACTGATTCAACGAGTTGAACCACTAGTTCGATCAGTGAACCAGTAGCTTGACCGGTTCGGTCATCAGTGCGGTTGTGAAAACTATGTTGCCATTGCTTCTTCTCAACGACTCCACTTTTGCACTAGACGAACCGCTGGCCATAATCTCTAGTCTCTACTGCATCGCACCATACTCACGATCACTGCCGTCAGCGGCTCCACGACCATCCGGTAAATCTCTTATCTTTTTCTCCCACACAAAATTCAGCCTAGCGATTCAATCTTCTTCAGTCTTCACAACCAAAACCGCAGATTTCGAAGACTCCCCCTTGTTTCACCGTCGGGAAATTGCCAATTAGGTTATGCTGAACCTTTTCTCCCTGGTTTTAATTGCTTTTCTCATGTGGCTAGCTTTGCTGTTCAGAAGTCAATCGATATTGAGTTCATCTGGCATTAGATTTCGCCTTTTGAAAAATCTATCCAAGATTTAAGGATCATTAAAATTAAAAACGCTTATTCCCAAACCCACCCAACAGAGTGTAACTATTTCATGCTGATACATGCGGTTTTGGTTTGATTTTGGCATTACAGTGTTGGCTTATGCATTTTCCATAGTTCTAATGGGTCCTTTTTGGAACACCGTTTATAATTACTACTCCGTATTAGAGTTTTGTACCTACCTTTTTTTACTTCTTAATTAACCAAACAATATTTTAACATTACCTCCCTAAATGTGCCATATATTACCTACCTCCAATTACCTTCATTAACATACCTCATTTCACCTACATCTATTTTCTCCCTAACAAAGAATAAGGAAAGATTATCAAACTTCATTTTCATTATATAGGCAAAAATTCAAGTTTTTCATTTATAAGAATATAAGATTTAAGAGCAAGAATGCTGTTTATGACTGCTGTTCAATTTGGTATACAATAGCATAAAAAAGCACAATTACCCACTAATTTTACTACCGCCCCTAGCAAATGAAAGAACAGTACAAAACTAAAAAAGTCACATACTTGAATTTGAACAAGGGATTGTTGTTTGGGATTAGCTGTTAGCGGGTAGCGGATTCCCTCAAAGAGTTTGGCTATTGAGTTGAGTGAGAAGGCTGAAATAAAATATTAGTAAGTTAGCGGGTTGCAAAGAAATGTTTGGATTGAGTTTCCCCTGAGTCCAGGACTTAAGTCAGAGATAAAACCCTAGTGCGACGGAAACACATTACTCTTCTGGTAAACAGCAGGCAGGTTCACACAATTAACAGTCAGAAAATCATTTAAAATGAGTTAAATGCACGAATAGTCCCTGTGATCTTTCATAAGTAGGTAAATAGTCTCCAAGCTTTCAAAAGTTTCAAAATAGTCCTTGTGATCAAAGAATCATTGCAAAATCAGTCCCTCTATTAGAGATTTCGTGAAATGTGCATATGACGCGCTTATTATGCAATGATGTGAATAGTGTAACAATAAAAAAGCTAATTTGAAGTTTCATTTGTGATTTCTAAGTTTGAACAATATGAAAATGTCTTCCATCTTTTGGTTCAACTCTCACGACTTCTTCATATCTTCAACAGTGATATTCTTGAATGGTAGAACAATGTTCTATGTGTGCTTGACATTATTTTGTTTTCAAGTAGCTTTATTCTAGGGTAATTTTGTGTGACATAAGAGCTGGAAAAGACCATATCTTGTCTTTAACCACAAAGACAAGGGTAGTTTTATCTGATTAACTTCTTTTTTTGTTACATGCTTCACATTTTCTCACAATACACATGTCATTTGTGTCTTTACATTTTCACGAAAGGACTAATTATGCACTAATTCATTGAGCATAGGGACTATTTCACAACTCTTAAAAGTACATGGACTATTAACCTACTTATGAAAAACCACAGGGACTATTTGTGCATATAACTACATTTAAAATTGTCCCGCTGTTCCTGTCTAGGCTTAAGTGGTCCGAATAATATGAGGAACCTCAGTTGTGCTCAGTTGGTTCGTCTCATAATATTTTAAAAAAATAATAATTCACAATACGTTTGTAAAGGGGTTTCAACTTTGTGTGTGTTGATCTTGACATCTTGTTTGTCTATGAATTTGTAGTGGATGTTGTATATTGAAATTGAAAGAACTTAAAGAAGACTCTTGCTTCATTCAAGCCTAGGCGTTTTTTTGTGCAATTCAAGCCAATGTGTGTTTCTAAAGAAACTTTAAATTACTCCGTAGAATGTTCATTTTTATTCAAATTTTGATTTATACAGTTTTTACTTGAATGTTTTTTAATGTAAATTTCGTTGTGTTTATACACTAAAAAAACAATGTTTCAAGTTAAAATTCTCATTAGGGGTTACTAAAAAATTAAATTGATATAGTTTTAAGTAGACTTGGTTGATTTGATACTCGTTTCTCAAATATTGCATAATATATAAGTTGATGGGGGTCTTTTATCAGGTCATTTATTAAGTCGTTGCCTGGTTAGTGGTTACCGGTTGATCCTTCACCCAATTGGTTGTCCACGTCACCATCTGGTCTGATATTCAGAACATTACCATCAACCACCCTTTAATTCACGGTTGGTGAGGCGGACCCAAAAACATTAGAGATGGTAACAAGGCTAACAACATGACATTTTTAGCTGAACATACAGAAGTTATATATCAGTGGGGTCCGTTTCCCCTATCTCCACCATAGAACCTTTTTTCTCTCTTCTACAAAAAATAAAAATATTCATGCCATGCTGATAATCAGCAAGTTCAACATGACCAGAAGATTAATTCTCAAAATTCACCCATTATCTTCTCAAAAAACAATCTTGTCACACTACCTACCCTTCTCGTATATCCAGAAGCATAGCTATGTTAATGTGTACATGAAATGGAAGCAAGACTTTTACTTAGAGTCAATTGAATCAGTTCACAGATCAATTGAGCTACGGCCCATACTTGCCCTCAAGAACTACATAGTCTCTGTTTCACCTCAAGAGTATTCCATTCCTATATCTGCCGTTTCCAAGAAGGGCATACACTTTGGAGTGCACATTAAGGTTGCTAGGTTCTTGAGGCAATACCCATCTGTTTTCGAGGAGTTTACTGGCCCCGAGCACAATCTTCCCTGGTTCAGGTTGACCCAGAGAGCCATTGAGCTCCACAAGGAGGAGAGAGATGTCTACAGAGAATTTAACGATGATCTTGTTTTAAGATTAAAGAAGTTAATCTTGATGAGCTGTGTTGGTTTTGGTGAGAAAAAGGTCCTTCCTTTGAAGATCATTAAGGGTATGCAGTGGTATTTGGGATTTCCTGACGAGTTCTTGACAGACCCCGAAAAGAATCTTGACGGATCATTTGAAGTTGTGGAAATGAGTGATGGTCTGACAGGATTGGCTGTGAAGAACAACAATCTGAATGATAGGGTGTTGTCTGTGATGCAGAAGAATGCAATAAAAAGAGGTTGGGATAATGAAACCATTCCGTTCCCCATTTTTCCATCTAAGGGATTGAGGTTGAGGAGAAAGATTATAGATTGGTGGGATGAATTTCAGAAGCTTCCCTATATTTCGCCTTATGAAAACTATAACTCACAGATAAGGCCAGATAGCGATGCAGCAGAAAAGCGGGTGGTGGGGTTGCTTCATGAGTTGCTTAGCTTGTTTGTGGAACACTGTGCTGAAAGAAGAAAGATTTTGTGCCTAAGGAAATACTTGGGATTGCCACAGATGGTTCATAAGGCATTTGAGAGGCACACCCACATTTTCTATCTGTCTTTGAAGAACAAGACATGCACGGCCATATTGAAGGAGGCTTACTTTGAGAAAGGGGCTATTGACACTCACCCTCTAGCAAAGGTGAGGAAGAAGTACATCAAGTTGGTGAAAGAGTCCACCTTTATTTTGAAAAGAAGAAGGTTCAGCAATAGGGCATGTGGTGGCGGAAGTGTGAATGTAAATGCTATACATTGTGAACATGACGATGAGAGTGAGAAGACTGAACTTGAAGCTTCCTAGGTAGTGGATTTTCTGGATTAAAGTAGGTCATTGTGTACTTGTAGAGGAGCTCTTTGATTTTGTGGGAAAGAGTTGATTTGTGGGATAAAATCTTGAGAATAAATGCACAAATAGTGGTATTCATGCATATTGCTGAAGGAAATCGTTATGAGCTTGACGAGCTTTGGTTGGAAGTTTATTACTCTTGGTGCAAAAGTTTCAGGTAATCAGTTAAACTTTTCTCTTTTTCATCATTGATTTGCGGAGTAACTATCGTATTGCACCTTAAGAAAGTTGGAAGAATTTTTGCATTATTAGACAGTGGACTTAATTTGCGCAAACAATTTGATTTCATTGATCTATAATATTTAGTCTCTGCTTACTTAGAACCAGAGAATCATAAGTTCAATTGATTTTCGTTTGCCTTTTGCATGGTTGGAATCTAGATTAGTTCTCTACTTGTTTTTTTTAAATGCAGTGGTTTAGGAGCTCTTCAGGTTGATATAATTCATCAATCTGTCCAAAGCTTTTGTGAATTTCCAATCAACGCAAAGTCATGATTCTGATGAATAATTTATTATCTCTGAAGGGAAGAAGTTGAAACTTACTGATCAGTCAATTTTTAGCTGTTGTTTTTTAAATGGTTTATAATTAGCTTTTCATTAATTTCTGCAGTTTCTTGTTCCAAATGCGATGGAAACCAGAGAGACTGAACTATTTCCTTCCTAAGCAAGCATCCAATCAAACCAGCCATATTTTGAATACAACTCTTGCTATATAACTTTTTTTTATCCCCACACTTTAAGGGTCTGTTGGAACATGGAAAATACTCTGGGGAAAAAAGTAGGAAGTACAATAGAGAAGATAAATCTGGGTGAAAATAAAAAATAATTGTACTCAATACATTTGTTTTAAATATTTGTTCACACTCATTTTTTTTAAATTTAAATGCATTCAATCTTTTAAAAACTACTCCATACTTATAATTCATTTTCCTTAGCGTTTTCAACTTTCAAAGGTGAAGAGCATTTTTTCTCTTTCCACGGCATTTTCGAGATCCAAACATACCCTATAGTATTTCTGTGATTCCAGAACTCCGATTCCAAAATTTCAAGGATATATCACAATGTGACCTTTTTTGACCCCATCAGCTTGCAAGAAGCTGCACAAGACCTTGATTACGATGTTTGAGACCCGATGGTTCTGCCTAGTACCTCCAATGCTTTGGAGTTGTTTCCTCTGCTTAAAAAATGCGCAATAAATTCAATCATGGAGTTAAACTTTCTCTGTCCTTCTCTGGAGTGAATTGCATTGTTTGATGATCAGAATGCAGATTCAAGTGATCTTTATAAAGTGTTTAGAGTGCTGGGAAAAACTTTAAGTTCTTGAGGAAATCAAGGAAGGCAAAACCATGTGCCAACTAGACATATAAGACTCCTTAGCTTCCATGGAGTCTTGTATTCCTGTACACTACTTGATCTATTTCTAAAACTGACGAGTTCTTCACTTTCAAAACTTACTGATATTAATATCAGCAAACATGGTACAAATTATGATTTCCCCGCCCCTGGTGCAATGAAAGCGAGAACACTAATATAATATGAAGTTATTGAAAGGAGCAAAGCATTATCGAGTTCTCTGTGGATACACCTCAGTCCCCTCAGCTAAGAAGGGTAATACATCCATGAGAGTTGAATCACAAGTAGACCTGGCAATCGGGTCAATCGGTTCGGTTCCGGTTCGGGTCTTTTCGGTTCGGGTCTCTTTCGGATATATGTTATAATCGGTTCGGGTCGGTTCGGTTCGGGTCAGTTCGGTTCCGGGTTTATTTCGGTTTGATTGGTTTTCAGTTTCGGTTCGGTTTCGGTTCGGGTTTGTATCAGTTCGGGTTTGTATCGGTTCGGGTTTATATCGGTTCGGGTTTATATCGGTTCGGGTTTGTATTGGTTCGGGTTATATCGGTTCAAGTTTGTATCAATTCGGGTTGTATTGATTTGGGTTTATATAGATTTGAGTTTATATCGGCTTAAATTTATATTAGTTCAAGTATAATGTAAACACATGCATACTAATAAATGAATAAATGACATAATAAATTTAGTTAATTTAGTTAACTATAATTTTTATATACTTTCTATAAAAATACAAAAGTATTTTAACTTAAGTAATTAAATACAAAGTAAAAGATTTGTACATGAATGTAGTTACATGGTTTGCACCCATAATTTAAATATGTTTTTTTAGAAACACATTAACATATGTAAAAATATATAGGTAATTCGTTTTCTCCAAATTCATTTGATAAATGAAATATTAATGAATTTGATCAATTTCGGGTCTAATCGGGTTCGGGTCTAATTGGTTCCGGGTTTAACCGGGTTCGAGTTTAACCGGGTTCGGGTTTAATCGGTTCGGGTTTAATCGGATTTGGGTCTGAATCGGGTCTGAATACATTCGGTTCGGGTTCGGTTCGGTTCGGATCATTTCGGGTGTTCGGTTCTATTTCGGTTCTTCAGTTTTCGGGTCAAATCGGGTTCGGTTCCGGGTTATTCGGTTCGGGTTATCGGGTCCGGGTCAGTTTTGCCAGGTCTAATCACAAGGTAGTGTAAATGTGTAATAGAACCATTGCCTAGAAGTCCAAAATCTTCGTCAGACATGTTTAAGACTTAAGAGTTGCCTAATAATCTTATTATTGAGATAAAAATAATAAGATAAAGGCACAAACACCCACTTCCGATTAGCTTCATAGATAGCAAAAGGACCCTTGCTAACAGGAAAAGAAAGTACTGCACCCATCATCTAGTCTTGAAATCCTCTTTCTGCCATCTATTTGCTAGTTTGATGAATGAAACATAATAAGATCTGTACACAAGATTTCTGTTTACACTCTTCACAGTTGGATAAAAAGAGCTGGAAGAAAGTTGGAGGAATTGGAAAAGGTTGAAAGGAGTTGAAATGAATATTACGGAGCATATTGTTTAGTAATATTTGTGTGACTCACATCCATTCTTACTTTTTCTTCCTTTTAAAAATTGATATCAACCACATAATTTTACGTTACTAAATTTGCTTGTCACTAAATCATGCCCCAAAAATAGTGGGACAAAAACAGCAATATTTTATTATTAATGTTAATTGAAAGGAAAATTTGACTTAAACAGTCCAACGTTTGTTCGATCAAACATTAATAATCCAACATCAGTAATCCTACACTACACTTTATTCATTAAAATTCTTAAGTTCTTCTGTATCTCACAAGAATGGCGTGGTGACTAGCAGTGCTAATTTTCATTACAAATTGCTGATCTGGCATGATTTACTTTTTTTGTTTTCTTTTTTAGCGTGGTCACATAAAAGATTTTTTGTTGTTCGGGAGGGGGGGGGCTTTTGAACTCGCTGTGCTTAGAGCATCCACACCATACAAGACAATCACCACATGTCTTTAGGAATGTCTAGGCAGTGGACCTCTGAACTACCAGAGTTTGTTGAGGCACAGCTGCAGAAAATCACAAATTGTGTACAGCAATTAGGTTGCTTGTTGATTCTTGCTCACTTTGAATATAATCTGAATATAATTAATTTAAAAAAAACCTGGAAGATATGAATATCTGTTGAGCTACAACTGATGACTTCTTCATTTACAAATTACAACAATTACTGACAACATAGTTCCTGATTTCTCATCCCACTTGGTGCAGTAAAGGTGATGAGCAACAATACAAAGTAATGGAGATGGACAATGCATTCCCATGTTCTCTAGATAAACCTCTGCTAAATGCTAATAAGTGAAATGATGCAGTCCATGAAAGTTTAATCACAAGGTAGAGTAGTAGGCCCATTGCTTGGAACTCCAAATTCTTCTACAGACATATTAAAGAGTTGTCTAATAATCTCATCATTGATATAAGATAGTGGCACAACAAAGCATTTCTGACCAGCCGTACAGAGCAAAATGATCCTGATTAGCCGATGCAGAGGAATTAAAGTAGCTACCTGCATCATCATATAGTCTTGGGAACAAAATTTTCTCATTGGGTGACTGCAATCTTCTGCCTTCTTTTTGCTAGCTTGATGAGTAGTTTGGAACTGATCATCTAATTAGCTCAAATGAAAGAAAGAAAAAAGGGAGATCTTTTACAGACATATTAAAGAGTTGTCTAATAATCTCATCATTGATATAAGATAGTGGCACAACAAAGCATTTCTGACCAGCCGTACAGAGCAAAATGATCCTGATTAGCCGATGCAGAGGAATTAAAGTAGCTACCTGCATCATCATATAGTCTTGGGAACAAAATTTTCTCTTTGGGTGACTGCAATCTTCTGCCTTCTTTTTGCTAGCTTGATGAGTAGTTTGGAACTGATTATCTAATTAGCTCAAATGAAAGAAAGAAAAAAGGGAGATCTAATGGGAAGATTACAAAATATGTAGCAACCTTGTATCTTGGTTGGACAGATTTGTAGTGTTGGATGAACAAATGTTATATGGAAGTTTGTCTGTTTAGTAAATTAGACTAGGGAAAAGTGGAAAACCATGTTAGCTTCCAGTTGTGTGAGGGCCTTTTATGAGCATCATTCAGAGCAGACAAAACCATGTTATACATAAATGAGGAATGCCACTCACATGGTTTTGTTTCCTAGTAATCTGATTAAGGATATTTTTCTTGAGTGAATAGCATTGACATCTGGCAGTAAGTTGGTCTTAGTCTGTCTCTTTACTTTCATTGAAAGCATGTAGCGGAATGGTGTATATTGACAGCTCTTTCATTATGTTAGGTGAACTTGTGGATGATCCTTCAAAGACAAATCCATGTGCAGTAGTGTCCTATCATGCTACCTAGACTTTCCCGAGTTTCCTCCTATCCTAATCTCTCTTAGCCACTTATTCCACCTCCTAAAAGATCTATATAAACATACATTTCCTCATGTTTTATTCCCCACACTCAACTACATCCTCCACAAAAATCTTATTTTCTGCCTTCTTCAACTTACACTGCATCCTCCCCAACCTGGAACTTGAACATGGCTATTAGTATGGGGCATATTCTCTGTGGCAAGCAAGGCCTAAGAAGGTCTTGTTCAAAGTCAAACAGAGAAATTGAGGTTCTCAAGGGACACTTTGCTGTATATATTGGCTAGGGCAAAAAGAAGTGATTTGTTATTCCGATTTCATACTTAAAGGACCATTCATTCCAATAGCTGCTGAGTAATTCTGAAGAAGAATTTGGGTTTGATCATCCGATGGGTGGACTTACTATTCCTTGTCCCGAGGACACTTTCCTTGACATCATCTCTAGTGTTTAGTATATGCTGATAGTCATTCCGAACTATTTAGTAGAGAGACTTCAGGTAGCTTAGTTTATTATAATCATTCTAAACAATTTTGTACCTAGAAGTATACATGTTCAGTGTTCTTTTTTTTCCCTGATCAGATTGGGAAATAATCTTCATCAGATTTTTTTCAATAGTCATGTATCAATGTATTACTTATAATGAACCCTTCAAGTTTTAGCTAAGGAAGTCCAATACTCCAATTTTTCAAGTCTTTATTGAAAGTATGATTTCATATTAAAATACATTTTCATCATTTGTAGCTAAGACACTGAGACATGCACAAAATCTATAAAGCATGTACTGTGTTGCTTATAAATCTTCCCTTTATTGAGAGGAATTGAAGATTTGCTCAGAATAAAATATTATTGTCTTGAGGTGAGTCCATATTTTGTGCACAACTTCAGACACCATTTATGCAAAAGTTTTATGGTAGACAACTAGACATTAACGCATTTAGATCAGAATGTAATCAATGTATTCATCTTTGCACTTTACACATATAGTGGCATCCAACTTCACTCAATTAATTATTCACCTCATGGGCTTTGAAACAGTACTGCCCTCATAATTACTCCCTCCGTTCGGAATTAGGTGTCCACTTTCTTGTTTTCATTTATCTGGAGTTAGTTGTCTACTTTCCATATTCAATGAAGATAATAGGATGAATTGTCTAAATTATCCTAGAGATAGGGTATGAGCAATGTTCACATGAATGAGTGACAAACACATTTGAAGGACTTACTAGTATTTGACATTTTATACTCATTTATTAAAAAATGAGATTTTTTTAGAAAGTGAACAACTAAATCCAGACGGAGAGAGTATATACTTATATGCAATACATATGTAAATACATATTTTACATTGGAATATACTTTAAGGAGAAAGTAGTGATGGCTGAAGAACATTTTAATTTTTAGAACTATTGTTAAGCTTATCCAGATAAATCATAGTGAACCAGATACAAGGGCTGTGTTTGGAAAACAACTTGTCGAATAGCTTTTGGCATCTTTGACTGAATTTGGCTTGTTTGACTTATCAAACCGCCAAAAGCATTGTTTGGCTAATGGCTTTTTCACTTGGCTTTTTGATCCGAAATGTCAAAATCCGAAAAGCCAAGGGGAATAGCTTTTGAACTTGGCTTTTAGAAAAGTTATTTTTTTAATCATTTTTCTTGAAAGATATTTTATAATATATGTAAAAAAATAAAAGTTAAAAAAATTCAAAAATTTTAAAAAAGTAAATTTTAAATTTTAATTTTTCAAAAAAAAAAAGATATGAGAAAATTAAAAGTAAAAATCATTAAAAAGTTATATATTAATAATTTCTTATGAATCATATGAAAATGAAATTTTATGCTCCACATATTAACGATTTAATATTTACATGTACAAAAATAAAAAACAAATATCGTGTGTGTGTGTGTGTATATATATATATAGATTTTGGTTCTGGTGAGAATGCAATCTTATGAAAGAAATAAGAATGAATCTGGTGCTTTAGATTGTGAGATCTAAGGGTTAGGATTGCATCAAAATTAGGTGCACTAAAATGGTTTTAAAATGCATCATGTCAAAATGCACCAAAATCCTTTGAAAATGCACTATTAAAAAATCTGAGTGAAGGATGCAATATGAGGCGCACGTTGCATCAGATCCAAAGGCTAGATTTTATTCTTATTTCTTTCACCAAGGTGCATTCTCACCTGAACTGGCTCCTATATATATATATGTGTGTGTGTGTGTGTGTGTGTGTGTATGTATATATATGTGTGTGTATATATATATATAGCTATTTTCAAACAGCTAATTTTACCAAACATTTTTAACGATCAGCCAAATTAGACAGCTATTTAGAACAGCCGATACAAACAGCCAACAACCAACAGCTGACAGCCAACATCCAAACAAGGTCAAGAATGGGTGGGTAATAACATGGCCTATGGAACATAGAACATATTTGAAGATTATTAAGCCTATTGTTGGACATAGAAACTATACTACATGTCTGCAATAAAAAAATTCTGCATAGTTTACACAAAAATTATCATTGTTATTGAAACATATTTTTAGGCAATAAGTGCTTACGTATATAGATTGAATTGTAGTTCATTGATAAAAGATTCATTATTTCAGATCATTTCGATGTTTAATATAGGAGGCTTACAAATTAAAGAGCGGAGGGTACATTTTTTTTACTATATGATCAGAACCCACCTTGATATAGGAATCTGGTGAATCATAGACAGTCCAGAAGTCAGAAAAGGGACGAAAGCATTTTTGTTCATATGATATTCAAATTGGTTTTGTTGAGGAAGTGTTCTGCAAGGGACATTGTTAGAGTGGGGGCTATTCATAATATTGTGCTTAGATCATCCACACCATAGATCTTCAGGAGAGTGAGCAGTTGTCAGTAGAGCACTAAACTACCCTAGTTTTCGTTTTGCACAGATGTACATAATCTTAGTCACAAAATCACAAATTATCTGAGGCAATTAGATTGCTAAATGATTTTTGTTTACTATGAATATAATCCGAATAAAATTTATTATATTAAAAACTTGGAACATATGAATATCTGTTGAGCTTCAGCCGATGAGTTCTTCATCAGTTACAAAATGTACTGACATTCATGTCAACAAACAAGTAATTCCTTATTCCTCCGGCCTTCTTGCTAAAGTGGAGACAAGCTAATGAAGCAATGGATTCTCAAGTTCTATGGATAAACCCTTGCTAGTAGTGAAATGATGCAGTCCATGAAAGTTGAATCACAAGGTAGTGTATTATGCCCTTTGCTTATAAGTCCAAAATACTCTTCACACATGTTGAAGAGTTGTGTAATAATTTCATTATGGAGATATAAAAGTGGCGCAACAAAGCATTTCTAACAAGCCGTATAGATAGCAAAATGAACCTGATTAACTGCTTAAGTATAGATCGAATTGTAGTTCATTGACAAAAGATTCATTATTTCAGATCAATTTGATGTACAATATATGAGGCTTACAAATTAAAGAGCGGAGGGTACGTTTTTTTTACTTTATGATCACAATCCACCAAGATCTAGAAAATCAGGTGAATTATAGACAGTAGAGAAGTCCGAAAAGGGATGAAAGCGTTTTCGTTCTATGAGATTCAAAATGGTTTTGTAGAGGAAGTTCCCTACAAGGGACATCGTTGGGGTTGGGGCTATTCATAATATCGTGCTTAGATCATCCACACCCTAGATCTTCAGGAGAGTGAACAGTTGTCAGTAGAACACTAAACTACCCGAGTTTTGGTCTAGCACAGATGTACCGAATCTTAGTCGCAATATCCCAAATTATCTCAGGCAATTAGATTGTTTAATGATTTTTGTTTACCATGAATATAATCTGAATAAAGTTTATTATGTTAAAATATTGGAACATATGAATATCTGTTGAGCTACAGCTGATGAGTTCTTCATCAGTTACGAAATGTACTGACATTAATGTCAGCAAACAAGTAGTTCCTGATTTCTCCAGGCTTCTTGGTGCAGTGGGGACAAGCAAATGAAGCAATGCATTCTCAAGTTCTCTGGGTAAACCCCTGCTAATAGTGATAATATGCAGTCTGTGAAAGTTGAATCACAAGGTAGTGTATTATGCCCATTGCTTGGAAGTCCAAATCTTCCTCAGTCATGTTGAAGAGTTTGTCGAATGATTTCATTAGTGAGATATAAAAGAGGCACAACAAAGCCTTTCTAACCAGCTGTATACATAGCAAAATGACCGTGATTAACTGCTGAAGAGGAAGTAAAGCAGCTACCTGCATCATCTTGTAGTCTTGGGAACAAAATTCTCTCTTTGGATGACAGCAAATTTCTATCTTGTTTTTGCTTGCTCGACAAGTGATTTGAAACTGATCATGTTATTAGCTCAAAAAACAAAGGGAGATCTAATGGAGAGATATACAAATTATATAGACACCTTGGATCTTGGTTGGACTAATTTGTAGTGTTGGATGAACAAATTTCATATAAGTTTGTCTGTTTAGTTAATCAGACAAGGGAAAATCATGTTCTCTTCCTGTTATGTGTGGGCCTTTCATTCAGAGCAGACAAAACCATGTTATACATAAATGAGGAATTGCATTCACATGGTTTTGTTTCCGAGTGATCTGATTCAAGATATTTTTCTAGGTGAATAGCATTGACATCTGGCAGTGAGTTGGGCTTTCCCTTCACTTTCTTTGTAATCATGTAGGGAATGATGTTCAGTGACAGCTCTTTCATTATGTTAGGTGAACTTGTGGATGATCTTTCAAAGACAAATCCATGTGCAGAAGTGTCCTATCATGCCTACCTAGATTTTCCTCTCATCCTAATCCCTCTTAGCCACTTATTCCACCTCCTAAAAGATCTATATAAACACACATATCCTCAGGTTTTATTCACCACACTCAACTACATCATCCTCCATAAACACCTTTTTTCTGCCTCCTTCAACTTAAGCTGAATTTCATCCTCCACAACCCAGAATCTGAACATGGCTATTAGTATGGGGCACATTCTCCGTGGTAAACAAGGCTTAAGAAGGTCTTCTTCAAGAACAAAAAGAGAAAGTGAGGTTCCTAAGGGCCACTTTGCAGTTTATGTTGGCGAGGGCGAAAAGAAGAGATTTGTCATTCCGATTTCATATTTGAAGGACCATTCGTTCCAAAACTTGCTTAGTCAATCCGAAGAAGAATTCGGGTTTGATCATCCGATGGGTGGACTTACAATTCCTTGTCCGGAGGACACTTTCCTTGACATCATCTCTAGTCTTGAGTAGATACTGATAGTCATTCTGAACAATTAGTATAGAGATTACACACAGCTTAGTTTCTTATTCTGAAATTTTTTGTACCTAAAAGTGTACTTGTACAATGTTCTTTTTTTTTCCTAATCGAATTGGGAAATAATCTTCATCAAAATATTTTCAATAGCCAAGTATCGTTTTACTTATCTTGATTCCTTCAAGTTTTAGCTAAGGAAGTCCAATTTTTCAAGTTTCTATTGACAGTGGGATTTCTCATAGTAAAACACATTTTCAGTAGCTATGATGCTGAGACTTGCACAAAATCTATAATAAAGCATGTAATGTGTTGCTTATAAATCTTCCCTTCCTTGAAAGTAATTGAAGAAATGTTCAGAACATAGAACTATAATCTTGAGAAGAGTCTACACTTTGTGCACAACTTAAGACGCCATTTATGCATAAGTTTCTATGGTGGACATTAACACATTTAGATCAGAATGTATTCATCTTTGCAGTTTAGACATATAGTGGCATCCAACTTCATTGTTCATATGAATGAGAGACAAAACACATCTGAAGAAGTTATTTGACATTTTAAACTCGCTTTTTAAAAATGAGATTTTTTTAGAAAGTGGGGGGGAGGGGGGAGGGAGTATATACTAAAAGCAATACATGTGATGGCTTGATAACATTTTAATTTTTAGAAAGCATATCAAGTTAGAGACAGTAGTGACCATACATGAATTGTGTGTCAACATTGCTTTTGGAACAGAGAACATATTTGAAGATTATTAAGCCTATTGTTGGACATAGAAACTATACTGCAAGCCTTCAATAAAATATTCTATGTAGTTTACACTAAAATTATCATTCTTTTTTATACATACTAGTATTTTGACCCGTGCGATGCACGTGGTCGAACGAAATTGTTGTCGATTTTGAAATTTTTCTTTGAAATATTTATTCCAGAATCAAGTAAATATATTTTTGTCACAAATTTTAATCAATGGAAAACAACGACAAAGTAGAATATAATATTTGAGAAATTGAAAGTGTACTGAAAAAATCTTTTTTAATTCCAAATTTTTTGAAAGGCTTTAGTGTACACAACATTTTTTTTATCGTTGTAAGCATTTTTATTTTCATCTAGAACTAATATTTTTAATCATGTCTTTTTCTTTACTCCTGAAACATTAACATAAAGCTAACCATGAGTAAATCCTGAATTGGTTAAAAATAATATAGCAAAGGACAATGTTTGACATTGACTTTTGTTTATAGTCATAGCAAAACATAAGACTATTATATTGAGAATTCTATCAGATGATACCAAATTTTATTCAGGGTATGTAAACTTTTTTCTCCAACGCGATTTCTCGAAACATCAATTACATTGATAATGTTCTTTCACATCTCTTTAACGATTAATCTTTTACCATTACACAATCCATATATTTGGTCAATGTTCTTCAATAACATAATCGGTACCCCCTTTTAAAAACTATTTTGTGGTTTGAATCCCCTAACATTTGATTTCATTAAGAAGAATTAAACTGTTATCTAATCGTCTTCAACAACTACATCTAAATATGTTTGGCATGAAGAATGAGAACTTAAATACTCTTTTAATTTTTACCTCTTAGAATAAGGGATATGACAAATTCATTTGTCATTTAACAAATTCGATTGTGGGTGCTAATAATGCACTATCCTCAAAAAAAGAATAATTTTTCATGTTCTCTAATAGGTTTGGATAAGTAAAGTTCACTATACTCTTGAGGGCGTAACTTGTGTCAAGCATCAAGAATTCAAGCGGGATTTCAACGTCAGCAGTTTCATCGATCACTTGTCCAAGTTTTCATCTTTGACTTTGCTTATCAATACAGAAAAAGATTATGTGTCCCTATGAGTGCAAGAGCGTGTAGATAAATGCAACCTCATATTCTTAGCTAACCTATAAACTTTACATTACAATCACATTTGTGAGAATTGGTGGTAGCACCCACANCTCTAAGGTTCTTCTTTTGTATATCATGTAGTTATTCCCATCAAATGATGTCTTATCAAGAAATATTTTGGGAAAATGTTTCATAAATTTATTATTCTCCATATATAGAGATCTAAGATCATTTATGCTACATGGATCATGCATCAACATTTGAGTTACGAACTCATAAAATCTAGGATATTTATCTTTATTATGAACCTCTACACATGTCACACGATCAATTGACTCAAGCGATTGAAGTTTATCCCTCTAGTGTAACCATATTAAGATATGTGCATGAAGCAAGCTTCTCATTTAAAATTCAACAGTGTACAAACATGCACAAAATCATTACATTAATGTCCATTTAAATTGTTTTTTAATATACAATATCAAATATTTAAACAACTTAATTTTTTTTATGTTATATACCATTTAAATTTCACACACACACATACACACACAGACACACATAAAATCTAGGTTTACTAAATTATTACAAATATATAATTCTTCTCACCCCCTGAATTCAAAAAATATACGACAAAAACATTGGTGATTTTATATAAAGAAATCATGATTCTTCTCCGCCAGATTAATTTACATTAACGAAAATATATGATTTTAATTTCTATGATGCATTAATGTGATTCTTTCTCTCCTTGGCCCTTTGCACTAATTAAAAATTGACTCTTTTTTATTGTATTATTAAAAGTGTGAAAACATAAATTAACAATCATATAATAAGAAATATAAATTTTACAATACATTAAAAATATAATGATTATTCTCCCTCGTATTATTTCAAAAATTATGTGAATGCAAAAAAAAACATAAGTGATTCTATGATTTTAATGAAATTTTACAAAAACTGTTTCACAATTTTTACTCATTTTTTGCTTTCTTTTTTAAATATTCAATCATTTAAGTGTGTGAAAGTATTTTGGTCAATACATAATGTTTTATAAAATACAAAGAGTTACAATTTAAAAATTATATTTCTCTTTGATGTTGTAGTTTAACCTAAATCTTATTCACTTCTGCACATAAGATATTCTTCGTACTTCTCCTTAAAATACTAATTATTCTTGCATCTAAATTTTAATTGTCACAGATCTTCACGCGTTTCTCGACCTCCAAATCTTAATTTTCCTTATAGAAATATTTTTTGTGAAAGTCCATGTTATACCGCTTCACCTCTAAGAATATCATTTATTTTAAATTTCTTTGTATGATTGCGAAAATGAAGAAAAGAGAATCACGCCATACTTCAGCCGTCTTTTTTATTTTCATGCATCAATATAGTGAATTATCACCTAATATAAATTTATAAATCTTAAGTTACATCTTAAATATGGTAAGAGTGCAAACCTTCTTTGATTAAAATAATAGGTCAAATTAAAAAGATAAAGTACAAAAGTCAAATTAAATAATCCTGCTAAGTAATACTCTGTATGGTTTAAACACTTAATATATATAATTATAATTTTAATATAGGGATTAAGAAGTATTTGTTATTTTACATCACTATTTAAATAAATGGAATAAAGTTAACTTCTCTTAATTGTACCGAAG